GGCCATTGGATCGGGTCCCAGTGGCTTGGCCTAATGGTCTACGAGCTCACTCGCTGGCCTTGTAACCAGAACGTGGTCCTGGGTTGGAACCCTGACAGTGGGGTAGGTGCGTAGTGCTGAATAGCCGGTCCCAAACTAGGACTGGGGAAACAGCTGTCCAGTACTCCCAGAATTATTGGGTGTTGATCTTGGCCACGTACACGTGTGGACTGCCCTGAAGATTGTAAGAATCGTTGGATAGAAAGTCATGTAGACGTCAACCAAGGTCATCAGTAATTCAACAAACGGTTGACTTTAATTCTGCAAAAATTCACTATTCTTCTTCTGATAATTTTCTTCTTTGAACACGTCTAGTCACGTCACTTGATGGTTTCCTCAGAGTATGGCCACAATCCAATCCACCTCCATTTCTTCCTGCTTATTTGTTGCACAATCGGTTTCCGCTGTGTTGCTTCGCTCAAATCCAGAGATCCCTGTTGCTGTTCTTTTCTGACCAGCCAGCCGGCCATCTGATCTTGAGTGGTATTGAGCGAAGACAACTAGCTGTTGATGAAGGTCTGTAGTTCGTTTGAGGTGCTCTTTATGACGCGCTGGTCAAGTCTCTGATCCGCGTAGTAAGTGGCACTGACTGAGTTCACATTGGAGTTGAAAATCCTGATCTTAATTTCATATTCATGCTGAGTGCTGAGTGTTGACCTCCACACAGACTTGAGAGTAATGAAAGCTTGTCTTGCTTTCTCAAAGATCCTCGCTGCTTTGATATCCTCGTCAGTTCCGTCCACCTGTAGTTGAAACGTTGCTTCCCAGGTATGTAGGTAGGTGGGTGAAGGAGGTTGTTTCTTTCAGGTTCCTCCCATTTATGCCGGCTGATTGTTGTTTGTTGTCGTTATTGTTGCTATTGGTGGCGTTGGCCAGCAGTCTTCATCACCTCTGTTTTCTCTATGTTCACCTGAAGTCCTATCTTTGATGCTTCTTCTGCCAACTTGTCGCTTGCATATCTTCCGGCGTTTGTGGGAAATCAGACATATATCACATCGGCGAAGTCCAGATCCTACAAGGTTTTCCTGAGGGTCCATTTTATGCCTGTTTCCTCATTGCCCACTGTTTGTCGCATTATCCAATCTACTGCAATCAGGAAAATCATTGGCGATAGTAGACAGCCAGCCAGCTTGTCTTACTCCCGTTTTCACTTCTACGAAGGATTCCGTGAGCTTCCCATTGTGGATTACTTGGCATGCAGCACTGTCGTACAACTGTTGGATGAGATGTATAATTGTCGGCGGCACCCCATAGTAGCAGAGTAGTTGTCAAATCACCTCTTGATCAACGCTGCGCTATCGAAGGCCTTTTCAAAGTCCATGAAGTTGAGATAGACAAGTTTTTCTTCCTTTTAATATATTCATATTCATGTTCTTTCCACCTGGTCTATTTCATCGTACTTTGAACTAGTGTATTTGTGTGTGAGGCTTTAGGATGTGAGTAATTGGGATAACCATTCCGTCACTTCTCCAAATTTGTTTATTCCTTTTCTCAAATTATTCTTATTCGTTCCGTTTCAGTTTGAACAATAATGTCTATTATTTTCACGAGTTGATCACGGATTGATACCAATTATAGAAGCATTGAAAACCAGCATTGCAGGGAGTACTGGACAGCCAGCTGTTTCATCAGCCTAGTTTGGGAATCATCGGCAGTACGAACCCACCAATGCACAGGGGTTCGAACCAAGAACCTTCCGGTTACAAGCCAAGCTAGCTGGCTCGTTTACCATTCAGCCACCCACTGGGACCCGATTCAATGGCCAGTCAGTGCTCGAATTCTAACTTCTACCAATTCGTGATGCATTTACCGCGACTGGCACCAACCAATGTGGTAGGTGGGACATCTATGTATATTGTTACCTTGGGTTCCTAGTGGAACAGAGGGCTTCAACTGCACGCCTCCACTCGCTTCTGTCTTCTGCTGTACTTTTCACCTGCATCCATGTTAGTCCAGACTGTTTCAACTCTTCTTCACACGATCTCCTCCATGTCACCCTTGCACGTCCCACTCGCCGCTTCTCATTCGGATTTCACTCGAGCGATGGCCTGACTCGCGATGTCACCCAGCGGCCTTCACAGCGAGTGTCTAATCCATCTCCAATTTCTCCTGCATATTTGTCGGGCGATTGGTTCCTGTTTTGTTTCTTACCATAGCTTTTTGTTTGTGATTCTTTCCGGTCATCTAATCTTCAGTATAGAACGAAGACAGTTGTTGTTGATAAGGGTCTGCAACAGGCTGCTGGAAATACTCTTTGTGAAAATCCGAATTTTGTTGTTGATGTAGGCTGAGTGACGAAGATTTCCAGATTGGTTTCAGGTTGATGCATGTGTTTCTCGCCTTCCTGATTCTCGATTCGACATCCTCGTCTGTTCCTCATGTAGTTGAGACAATGCTAACTAGATAAGTGAATGAAGTAACCTCTTTCAAATCCCTCCCATTGGCGGTGGATGTTGCTGTTGTTGTTGTTGGTTGGTTATTTTCATAACCTCCGTGTCTTGTCTATGTTCACCTGGAGTCCTGTCTTCTCTAGCTGCTTCTTCGACCAATTTGTCGGTTTTTGCTTGTAAGTCTTCGATTTTGTGTGACATCGAACTTAAATCATCCGCGAAATCCAGGTCTTCTAGATTATTCACGTCGATCCAGGATATCCCTGTCTCCTCGTTTCCTACTGTCTGACGACGCGTAATCCAGTCAAGTCCACCACAATTAGGAATATCATTGGTGATAATAAGCACCTTTGTCTGACTCCTGTGTTTACTCCAAACGCCTCGCTGAGTTTACCATTGTAGATCACTTGACATGTGCCGTTGTCGTACAGTTGTTGAATAAGGTTGATGAATATTTGGGGTACGCCGTAGTACTCGAGTAGTTTCCAAATTACTTCGCGATCAACGCTGTCGAAGGCCTTCTCAAAGTCTATGAAGTTGAGGTAGAGATTTGATTGCCATTCCATGCTTTGTTCGATGATAATGCGTAGAGTTGCAATTTGGTCAGAACATGATTTGCCTTTCCTGAATCCAGCTTGTTCTGGGCTAGCGGAGTTCTGTATCCAGTGCGTCCTTTATTCTCTCCAGGATGATGCGACTCAGGATTTTACTTGGCGTCGACAGGAGCATAATTCCTCGCCAGTTCTTGCAGAGTCCTAGGTCGCCCTTCTTTGGTAGTTTCACCAGGTAACCTTTCCTCCAGTCAGTAGGCACCTTTCCCTCTTTCCAGACCTCTTGCACTAATGGAGTTAGCATATCTGCTGTCGTCTCTGGGTCCGCTTTTAGTGCTTCCGGAGGTATTCCATCTGGTCCAGCTGCTTTTCCAGCTTTCAGAAGCTTGATTGCATTCATGACTTCAATTTTCGTTGGAGGGTTGGTGTCAACTTGCAGTTGTGTACGTGCTGTTGTTGGTATTTCTGGACGGCTTGCAGGTGGTGGTCAGTTCAAGAGTCCTTTGAAGTGGTCCGCCCATCGTTTAATCTGTCTTTCTTCCTTGGTAATTGGGTCCCCTTGGCTGTCTTTTATAGGTTTCACTTGTGTTGATCTCTTCCCAGATAGAGACTTGGTTATCTGATATAGTGTCCTCAGGTCCCTTTTGCCTGCTGCCTTCTCAGCTTCAGTAGCCAGGTTGTCGTAGAATTGTCTTTTGTCCTTCCTGGCACTCTTCTTCACTTCTTTGTCCAGTACTGTGTAAGTTGAACTCAGCATCTTTTTCTCTTGTCCATCTTTGCATTGAGTCATTTTCTCTTTCACCATTCTCCTCTCCTCTATTAGCTACCAAGTGTCCGTTGAGAGCCATTCATTGTCTTGTTTCTTCTTTCTTCCTAAGACCGTTGAACACGTTTCCTTGAAAATTACCTTCAGAGAGTTCCAATGGTCTTCCACGGATGATTCCTCAGTGGTGCCACGTAGTGTTTCCTGCTTTGCTCTGACAGTTGCAGTGAAAATGTCCTGTGTGATTGTGTCCTTCAGTTTGTGAGTGTTGAACTTGCATTGTGGCCTATCCCCAGGTATCCTCGAGGCTTTTAGCTCCACCTTGAAAGTCCATTGTACTAGATAGTGGTCTGAACCCACATCTGCTCCTCTCCTCAACCTTGTGTCCAGTAGGCTCCGTCTCCACTTCCTTGAGATTGAGATGAAGTCTATCTGGTTTTTGGTGTGTCCATCTGGTGTAATCCATGTGGCCTTGTGTATATCCCTGTGTTTGAACACACTGCCACCAATCATCGAATCATTGAAGGCGCAGGAGTCTGTCGTTCATTTCACCGAGGGCCTCGCGACCCATGGTGAGTTCTCTTCCTGTATTGTCTCCTCCCAGTTTCGCATTCATGTCGCCCATCAGGATTTTGATATCACTCTTTGGGACGTTGTCCATTACTGCTTGTAGTTGTCTGTAGAAATCCTCCTTCTTCTCTTGTTCTGAAACGTTTGTAGGCGCATAGCATTGAATAATTGTAACCTTCCTTCCTTTTGAGTGGAACCTGGCTGTCATTATCCTGGATGGGATAGGATGACAGTTTTAAAATCCAGTGTCACAGGGTGCAGAGAGTGACAGACCGATAACAACGGAAGCTTTGTTTATCGAATTAACTGAGAGCAAATACGTGTAATAGCAATGACTCAACATCTATCCCCAACGACGACAAATAGGGGAGAACAAAGATGACTATACAACTCAAGTTTCGAGGTCGTGTGATTATAATTGGTGATGTGTATGATTATGAACAGCAATAATGATGGATTGTGTTCGAAACTGTGTCATCCAGTAAATACTAATACTGTTTCACTGACTGTGTGTGATACATCTGATAAACAAACTAATATGGTAAAATTTTTGTAGTTTATCAAGCATATACCTCACTTATTATTGTTATTATTATTATTATTATAGGAAATCTAAAATCAATCTTGTAAATTCAAACTCCATTATACACACATTCTGTTTTATTTCTATTGAAAAAGAGAACTCACAGTATAAAAGTGCTGGTACACCCAAATAACGATATTCTGAACGAAGTACAGTATGTAGGCAGGCAAGACCTTCTTCAATTTTCACTGCTTCACAACTGTTCGTTGGCCCAAGACCGTAGATATCTCTTTTGCCATACCATGGTTGAAGACCTTCATTAAATGACCTATGCTGTTTTTGTTTTGTTTTTTTTGTTTTTAGGAAGTCAAGTTGATAGCAATGTAGAATTGATATAAAATAAATAAATAAACAAATAATATTTGAATAAGGCATTTAGAAGAAGACAAATTTCGCCGCGAGATGATATCGTCATTTCGTAGTTTCTTTACAACCGCCTTACACAACTAAAATGGTTCACAATAATAAAATAAAATGCATGACAATTACTCAGTTATATAAGACAAAACAAAAGTACATACTATGCTAATGACCAATCATCACATTTAAATAGGTCAAGTAGTCAGTTCATGGTAGGCGAAGATTGAAGTCTATTGTTTTGACTGTACACACAGTTTAGGCTGTATGTGATTAATCCCCGAAGAGTGCTTCCATCACCTTCAATAACCAACCTTGAATTAGAGTTATATGATGAAATAATTGTGAAACAGTCATGAATTAATATCGATTGATTTTGTGACCTCACATTAATAAGTGTTTTGCAATAGGTGATGACGCAGGTGGATTTCTATTCACATTAATGAATGCATTGGTGGGATTTTCTATATGATTTAGTAACCATTTTGGAACATGTTCCTTTCGGCCACGACACTGGAACATCCTATTGGTTCTACCTATATAGGTGTGTGTCACCGCAACAACTGCATGTGAACTTGTTGATACAGTTTGAAGTAGAGTCCACAGAATTTCGTCCTTCAATTGTAGATGCAGGGATGGAAAATGTTCGGCAAGTGAGGGAGGAAGATGCGGTGTAGAATGTGCGTTTGAGCTAGGTGTCACAACTGCATAATCTGGTAACCCTTGAATGGTAGGTAGGTTAATAAAGACACATAGCTTTCTTTGGTACAGAAGCTGTCTTTTCTACATGTGGTTTTTCTTTACTGTGACAAGTGATAAAGTTCTCCGGATAACCATTAGCTAATAAAACTGAATGTATATGTCGAAACTCATCCATCAATATGTCACTCGTGCATATTTTTCGGGCCCTTGAGAACAAACATTTCATACTAGGGAACGTTTATACAGGATAGGAACAAAACTGGTGAAATGAAGATATTGTCCACTCCATGTCTGTTTACGAAAAAAATAGATCGCTGAATCGTTCCGTCGTCTCTCCATTGGTCATAGTAATATCCGGGAAACCGAGTTTGTTATTCCATCTGAGTTCGGAACTCACTCGGATGTTTGGATGAATATGATTAAATAGGGTAATGAAGTTTTCAATAGATTTACTATTATTGCCAATAATATACTCGTTTAGAGTACACTTTCTTTATGTGACAAATAATGTACCGCATCAAGTCTTGTTTACTCTTCCTATTCATTTCCATCTAGTTTAATTTACATTGTCATCATTACTTTTATTGACTTTTGCCACCTTTGAATTTACGCTACATTTACTCTATGTTTTAATTATCTGACTAATTTTCACTATATGACCACTGGTTTTTGTTATCATTACCATAACTTTTCGGATAACTCTGAAGAGATGTTGTTTTCTAAGTCGTACGTACACTGAGTAGAATTTGCTTACTATAATCACTTCAGGTAGTTCACAAAATTTTCTGACACTTCAATTATTATAACATATATGTTCCGACTACAATGAGCATAAATGTCTTTACTATTCTAGTATAGCTGTTATCAATTTATTGATCGAGTGTGTGATCAGTTGTGTAAGTGAAAACAATATATATATTTATTTATTTATGTGATGGAAGAATTAGAGATATTATCGCAATCATTCTATATGCTTAGATGGAGCGCTTCAGTTTATGTATAAGTCATGGGATTTTAGCAATTTAAATATGTTCCTAAGATTAGGCTGAATAAGACTGTAGAATATTTTGGCGCATTCAATTTAAATATATAAACGGTACCTAGAATAGTGACCTGGGAATCCTGTTTAACTTATGTGAAGTTATCAGAATTGCACTAAAACGTAGATCATTTAAGTAATTATGAAAATAGTTTGAAAAAATTCAAAAAAGAATACTTCTTTTTCTCCGCAAGAAACTAAAACTGACCCTTTAAAATGTAACGCAAAATAAACGAAATAATAACAGTATACAAAAAAGGATACATAGTGTGTTCCCAGTTCATGATCCATCAGGCACATTATGCCTCTTTCACGTAAGTATGTGTTTTCTTCATTCGTTTTCAGCAGCATTGTGAATTTTCTGTGCCTGGGTATGTTACCATTTTTATCAATACCAGTACTGCACATCAGAGCACTAATATATATCAACAACAATAATTTATCGAGTGAAGCTGGCTCACCTTCCTATTAAATCTTCACACCAAATAACCTCTAAGTTTGTTGGCAAGTTCGCCTCCTTTATATATTCAGTTATCTTTTGGGTTGCTTCTTCCACAGAAATTCTAGGTCCAAAACTTTGTTCCACAAAATTATCAATGCTTTTAAATTTCCTGCAAACAGTATCTAAAATTCGAGTGGCTTCTCTAAATAAAGTGAAAGTAATATGTCCAGACTTTTAATTTAAAAAATGATATAAAATTCATATTTCAATCACTCACATCATGTAATATAGCAGATTCTAACTCTCCTGGGATAACTTTTAGGTGAAATTCAGGGGTTATGTTACGCCGAAGAAAACGATCTTTTTGCTCGCCTGCATTAACAGGCATGAGATTACTCGCATACTGATGCGGTACATTCTGTTCGTAACGGATCTTGTGATTCCGTGTGTACTTAAAATGATCATTGCCCAGAGAATTATTTGAATTATTATTTTCGTGCCTAGTATTTTTACTTCTTGCACAAGACATCATTTAAAATAAACATTTTTAAAATGTGTTTACAGTAGACATAAAATCAATGAAATGCAGAAACAAGTAAACATATTGTAATGAGCGGCTTTCGCACTTGTTTGAAACTTAGTCAGTAGATGTTACAAACAAAGTCAAATCTTATTCGCTACAGAGACTAAAAATGTGATAATTACACAGTATTCACTAAATTCCATAAGAAATCCTCATTAATAAGCACAGTGACACTTCAAGTTTCACGTAACTTCTCAGTATCCTCAGTCAATAAAATTTTTCAAATAACATGTTGGCGAAAAACTTTCACCCATTCTTGCCCGCGAAAGTTGATTATGTGCATGTCAGTGTGGTCTATCATTGTTTTAAACCTACGGGGCCCACTCTACACTTACTTATTATGATTTCGGGCTTCTCCTATTCACTGCACAGGACGCTGATTTGATTAGCTCAAACACCTGTCGTTTGATAAAGTAGATTCATATCTGACAAACTTTTTTACTGTAGTATTTTCGTTAAATCTGCCAACATTCTGTTTCGGTCTGGGGAAATTCTTTGAACTTAAACGTTATTTGCTGCATATCTTTTACGTGTTCCATTCTCTTTAAATTGGTTATTTGAACCTATTTATACTTGATCAGTAAATTTATTGCTGAACATGGATGACTCTGTCCAAATCTGACACATGACATTTTGGGGATTTTACATTGTATTTGTAACATATATGCAATTAAACCGGGTTTTACACAAACGCATGTTCTGCATCATACACACCCGCAATACGTAAACACGCGAAGTTTTCAAACAGTCTGCAGTAGTCTATACGGGGTGCGCGAAACAAATCCTGTTACAAAAAATAAAAGACAGATAAATACTGTGTCAGCCCAACACCGAATAATTGTATTTGTACTATTTATTAATGGAACCCTGCCTGTTAACTACATTCATATTTGCCTAGCAGGTCGCAAAATTGGGTAGAGAGGGAGAGTTGGGAATCCAGATAGAGACCATATAGCAAAAAACTAATCAAACTACTACAAAAACTTCAATGAACAAGAAAAATATTCAAAAATTCAAAATATTCAAATAACAGTCTTATTCTTCTCTGCAAACATAAGGGAAAGGCCTAGACACAAATCAACACTGGCGAAGAGATCAGCGTCGAAAAGCACTGAAACAACCTGAAATTAGTGTGGAGTCAAACCTGCATGGAAGTTCTAGGCAGAAAGAAGAAACAAGACAAACAGTGGCTAACTACGGACACTTGGAAACTAATAGAAGAGAGAGGGATGGTGAAACAAAAGATTCTCCAGTGCACCGACGAGCAACAAAAACAGGATTTGAATGCAAACTACAAGACAATGAATGAAAGAGTAAAGAAGAGTGCCAGGGAAGACAAAAGAAAATATTATGAAGCCATGGCAACTGAAGCAGAACAGGCTGCAGGCAAAGGGGATCTCGCCACACTCTACCAAACTCCTAGGTACCTTTCTGGGTAAAGTTCGACACAAATCAAGCCAGTGAAGAATGACAATGGAAAGTCACTCACCAAAGAAGTGGAGCAAAGGCAACACTGGGCCGAACACTTCAAAAGACTACTAAACCGACCACCACCTACAACGAGCCCAACAATACCAACAACGGAAGCAGAATTACCAGTGAACATCAACCCCCCGACGAAATCAGAAGTCCTGAAGGCAATCAAGATGCTGAAAGCTGGAAAAGCAGCAGGACCAGATGGATTCCCAGCAGAAGCACTGAAAATGGACCCAGAGCCAACAGCGGACTTGATGACACCATTAATGGAGAAGGTGTGGAAAGAAGGCAAAGTACCCGAGGATTGGAAGAAAGGCTACCTGTTCAAACGGCCAAAGAAAGGAGACTTAAGTCAATGCAAGAACTTGCGCGGAATTATGCTCCTTTCCATCCCAAGCAAAATACTAAGCAGCATCATCCTGGAGAGAATCAAACACGCCGCCCTGAATGAAAACCTTCGACCGGAACAGGCTGGATTCAGGAGAAACAAGTCATGCATTGATCAGATCGCCACATTACGGATCATCATTGAACAAAGTTTGGAATGGCAGTCACCTCTCTATCTCAACTTCACCGATTTCGGAAAGGCCTTCGATAGCGCAGCGTCGATCTAGAGGTGCTTTGGCAACTAGTTCGCTACTATGGATTGCCACCAACAGTTATACATTTCATCCAACAGTTGTACGACAATGCTGCACGGCAAGTAATCCACAAGCGGAAACCCACGGAATCCTTCGAAGTAAAGACAAGATTAAGACAAACTGGCTGCCAAATATCGCCAATGATTTTCCTGATTGCAGTAGACTGGGTAATGCGACAAACAGTGAGCAATGAGGAAACAGGCATAAAATGGACTCACACAAAATACTTGGAGGATCTGGACTTCGCCGATGATATTGTCTGATTTCCCACAGAGTGGAGGATATGCAAGTGAAAAGCAACAAGTTGTCAGAAGAAGCATCCAGAGAAGGTAGGACTTCAGGTGAACATGGAGAAAACAGAGATGATGAAGATTCCTGGACAAGAACAACAACAGACAACGATCAGCATAAATGAGAGGAACTTGAAAGAAACAACCTCCTTTACCTACCTGGGAAGCATCGTTTCAACTACAGGCGGATGGAACTGACGAGGATATCAAAGCAGCGAGGATCGGGAAAGCAAGACAAGCTTTCACTACTCTCAAGTCTATGTGGAGGTCAATACTCAGCACTAATCAGCATGAAAATGAAAATAAGATCTGGATTTCCAACTCGAATGTGAAGTCAGTCAATGCCACTTACTATACGGAGCAGAAACTTGGCCAGCGCGTCATTAAGAGCACCTCAAACAAACTACAGACCTTCATCAACAGCTAGTTGTCTTCGCTCAATACCACTCAAGATTAGATGGCTGGCCAGAAAAGATCAGCAACAGAGATCTCTGGGAGCGAACCAATCAGGAACCGATTGTGAAACAAATAGGCAGGAAGAAATGGAGATCGATTGGCCATGCTCTGAGGAAACCATCAAGTGACATCACTAGACAAGCCATTTCTAGAGTGGAACCCAACAGTGAAGCAGCGATTCGTTCTTCAGTGCAAGGGTGACTCGAAGAAGTCATGTGAAGAGGAGATAAAAAGGCGCAGGCAGACTTGGAGTCAGGTGAAGACTCTAGCAGAGAACCGAACGCAATGGAGACGCACGGCTGAAACCCTATGTTCCTCTAGGAATTAGAGGAAGCAATAATAATATAACAGTGGGTTGCTAATCCATTGGGGCTTCCCCGCATGAGTTCATATCCCTTCCCCGTCGGGATTTAACTGCCAGATGTTAGTGGACAAAAGGACATTGGAATTATTGTTACCCATGACTATAAAAAAACCGCAAATTTTATTCGAGCCGCAGTAGTTTCCGTGTGGAAATTCCGTTTTCCATAACAATCACGCCGAAACCGTTTACCTGAACCATATCTCATCAGTTCATGAAGTTTTTGTTCAAAAGTAGAAGGCCATGGTAAACTTGTCAACAACCTTTCAGCATTATTCACAAGTCGTTGGAATTTTTTAGACACTGATCTATTTACAACAGCGACAAATGACTCAAACTTTGCACGAACGCCAAAGGGATCACGGTATGACTCTATAAACCCAATATGCTTTTCAACAACAGGGTTCTTATCTTTGACCCATAACCTGAAGGCATCTTTGTGAGTGGCTAATGAGCCAATAGTGAAGCTTTCAGCAAACTGATGCCACATTTCTGATTCGATTTGTTTAAGCGAATGTGCTTTGAAATCTATACAGCAATCGACTAGTAACTTCATCAGCTCACTATAGTCACCATATATTCAAGCTGCAAAGATGTGTCCGAGGGAAGGGAATCTCTTAACTTCTCACGATGTTGACTTAGAGGGATTTGCAAGTCATGGTAACGTTGGGCTAACTGTCTTTGTTTTTCTTGGATAAAAGGAGCGTCGAAATGACTTTGTGCAGCAAGCGTGTCAGCCTGGACTTTGAATGCATCTATACGTTCACGATGAGCAGCTACATCAGATTCAAGCAAGTTTTGCCGCTTTTGTGCGTTCATTACACCGTTTAGATCACGACCAACATCCTCTGAGGCTATATGAGCTTCAACATCATTCAACCATAACTCGACATCTTCTATGTTGCGAGCAAACTGTTGTTGCCTACTTGCTTGATCTAAATTTTTCTTCTTGTCTCCCATGGCATTTATGAGATGAGACCAAGTTTCATCCAACTGTTCAATCTTTACCTTTATTTCTTGTGAGTTGTAGTGGTTTGCATTTAACAAATCATGACCTGTCTTTTTAATACCTTCAACGCGGGATTGGTTCGCTTGTATTTCCGCCTCGAAATTCTGATGCTTCTGCATCTTCGTTTGCAAATTCGTGGAGTCTTTGTAACTTTCATCAAGTGCATTTTTAAGTTTTCCTGATATCCATGACTGCATTTCATCTGCATCTCTATCGAACATTTGGTAACGGTGGGAATCTTGAAGACGCTGACGGTGGTTCTGAGCTTTCTCCTTTAATACATTTCGTCTACTTTGAATACCTTCCTGAATCTCATGAACCTGTGCAGCCGCATAGTGGTTTGACTCCATTAATTTTGCAGCGAATTCATCAAGTTGTAGCACCTTTCCTTCTTGTTCTAAAAGTGACTTTTCGAAGTCTTCATGTTTCCTTATGAGTGCTTCCACAGAATCGAGTGAGTCTCCCACATCTTTTATTTCTAAGAGGGCCTCTTGCTTACCAACCCAAGATTCCAACTGTTCAGCGTCGCGGTAAAAATACTGAAGGCCCATACACTGTTCTAGCTGTTCACGTCTTTCCTCACACAACTGCATCAGGGAGGCTCTCTCTTTCAAGGGCGGAAAGTTTGGCAGTTATGTCTCCACTACAGGGATGGCCAACACTTAGTAACGCCTGGCCTTCTTGCATGCATGTATCGAAACTGTCAGCTCGAG